AACAACAGACAATGCCTATTGTAATAGAGTCAAAATTTATTGAATTGAAAATCTGATTTTTTAATGAGGTTTAATAAGAGAAAATTTGTATTTCCTGTGTTATTTAAAACATTCCAGCGAGACATTTTGGTTTAAAAAACGACGTGAGTTTCACTGGGTAGGGATGATAGGGGGGTTTCATAATTATTACTTTTATTGTGAGCATCGAAAACTTTTTTTAGTTCTCTACCTTAAAAAAGTACATATGTCTTGGAACATATAATAGATGTCCTAAGTTACATAGTTTTTTAAATAAATATTTGAAAAACTGTCATATTTAAATTTTCGAACCTTCAAGATTATCGATTTTCAGTTTTACTTAGATTTAAATTGTAGTTGTTAACATCAATTTCTTTATACAAGCTTATCCCTCGTCAAGCATGTTTATTTTTTGTCGTGTTACTCAGTATGGTAAAAAATAAAGATTACATTGAAAAGATTGAAAAATAAAATTTAGACATTAATGAAGTAGTTTCCGAAAAGAACCTTCGACATTACTCGATATTTAAAAAAACATTTTCATTACTCGAATTTACAAGCAATAGATAATAAAAAAGACAATACTTCATAATCCACAACTAAAAAAAATGAAAATTGAATCTATTTCTATCTTTACATTGTCGTTCCACGATATTGTCGTAGCTACATACGTAGGCAGACGTCTACAACTGCACTGCACCGTAGACAGCGTTAAGCGCTACGCAATTTCAAACTCGTGTGTTGTTTTTTAACAACTTTAAGGTTGTTCTTATTATTTTATTGATTAGAGAATAAAATGCATGAGAAACTTTTTAGTTGGAACATAAAACAGTTTTTGCTCTGAATTTGAAAAATATTCATAGATCAACATAAAAACGTAGTCAAAAGACAATTTCAGAAATAGTAAATCGATGAAACTGATATCTTTAGGAGAGTCGTAAAATGCGAGTATTCACGGAAACCTTTGAAATTCCTTCTATCATTTTGAGAAACCCTTGTCACTCCCATTACGTCCCCCGACACGGTCGCTCGTTTTGACGGCTGGCCCTTCATTTACGAGAGTTACGGTCTCTAGTACTCCCTAAGTAGCATGTAGTCTCAACGATTTTAAAGGGAACATTTTGGCATAAATTTTTCACGTTTTTATTTTTGCCTTTTCAAATCTCAAAAAAAATTGTAACTGCATAGACTACATGGCTTTAATTTACAGTCCTATGATATGAAAATACTTCCTGACCCTGTATATTAAGATTAAATCTTTAAAAGTAATGCTTTTACACGCTTGAGTTTTGATGTAGAAAATATAACAGAAAAAGTATATCAAAACATAATCCACATTTATCAAGATGACAATTTTCCAACAATAGCTACGCAATCCATTCACGATGGTAATTGACATAAAATCGATGTATACGATACGATATCTCGTGTAATAATTGATAATTCCTGCTGATGCGGAATCGTATCGTTATATGAAACTTGACATATCAATATTTCGAACTGAAAATATTTTAACATTATTTTTTTCCGTAATATTTTTAATACTGCATCCTATGCTCATGAGTTTTACCAAATTGAAAAAATGTACCCATTTTTTGTATAATTAATGTATTAATAAACTCAATGTAGAAGAGAGTAAAACGGCCGAGTTAACAAAATAAGAACAACCTCTTTTTTATTCATCTTTATAACTGTTAGACAAATACACACATGATTACTATCAATATAATATGGAAAAAAGTTGATAAATGGAAGTCCATTAACTAACTTTAGTATGTTTTAATTTACCATGTTTATTTTAAAATAGCAAGCAAAACACGTGAAGTTCAATTTTGGGTAAAAATATAATAACAGGTAAAAGCCACGCCGCGAACGCGTATGTCCACGGCGAATAAAAAGTACAGCTGTAGCAAAAAAATACTCTGTCATTTTGTGAGCTTACATTTTCAATCCTTTCAGGAAAATACCGAACATTCGATATTCCGAGAATAAAAGTTTTTAATTTTAGAGAACGTAGGAATTTCCTATTATAAAATTTGCAACAAAGTTCTTCATACGATTAACGTTGAGATTACATGTTTGTATTTCTGAATCAAACAAAATACTAGTCCTGTGACCTGCACGCTAAGCTAAGATTTTGATCAAAATATACAGTTTTGTATATATTTGTCTAAAGGATTTAATTTAAAATCAAAATTAATGTTTATAACAAGATTAACAAGCAAAAGCTCGTCCCAACAAGCAATCTTAGTAAAATCTAGGCAACTCCTGCCTATTTTAAATTTTCCAAAAATTTGCAACATGTATTGTCGGTTAATACAGTACAAAAGAATTTTCCAAACCGCACGCGCGCTATGTTTGTTGCTAGACTAGGGTTCAATTTTCAAACTAAACAGTGATTACCGTCGACATTATCGTACAATATCGTGCGCTGTGCGACACTGTGAACACGCTTTCGCTGTACGCAGTGCCGCGAGGCACAGTGCACAAAGCACATACTCATTTCGACCTCAATATAAGCAATACGGTTGGCACGCGGATACAAATGCAAGTAACAACAATAACGAAAAATCGTAAACTTTCCAATTGGCTGTATTTAAAAAAGTTCTTAGACAGTTAGTATGAATACTGAAGAAAATTTTGATAAAAATAGATCTTGGGACGAGGCATTTTTAACTTTTTGTTATTCTCACAAAAGAAAGGAAAACTTCACTGCAAAAAGTCTTTGTTTGCGGTATAAAATCCACAAGCAAATTGCTTCCGCCACGTTCATTTTCAATTAAAATTGATACTTTACGGCCTCAGCTTGTCTGCTGTCATTAAATACCTTACATTCTTTGAACTTGGGCTTAATGCACTTATCAAGTTTATTTTTTAAATGCTTAAATTGTCTTCCTACTATAATAAGGCCGTTGTTATTTCCGTAGTATATTACACTAAAGTTTTTCACGGAAAATAACTAAAACATTTAACACCATCCTGCAGTTTGCAGATAAAACGGAGTTTTTAAAACACTGAGATTAATTTATAGCGGACATAATTTATTCCGACAAACCAGAACGCGGGTCGACGAGACCATGAGGCAATTTACAAACTCGAAAATCGCGGAAGTTCGTTAATTATTCGGTGGGAGCAAGGCCCGCGCCGCCGGGGACTAATGTTCATTGACAATTAAGACGAGCGCCGGCCACTCCAAGTGCCCTAGTGCTGCTCCCGCGGTAACCTAACACATCTGCTGCCACTTTATTGAAATTTAAATTCCGCAAATGAATTGTCAAGGAAATTAGACAACAAATCTTACACTACAACGCTAACAGTGTAACGAGTCTTAGATTTTGCTATATTTGCGTTAAACATAATATAGTCGTACCTAATCGTAATATACACCTTTGTTTATTAACTTAAAAAGGAAAGTAAAACTATCTTTTAAATAAATATTTATGGAACTAAATTAAAAGTTGCGTCAACAAAATAAAATTTTAATCATCGCGACAAAAATAGGTGTATCGCGAAACGGCACATGCAGGAGTATAAATAATTCATAAAAATCCCGCCTGACCCCGACATATGGGCTGGCAAAAATCGCTTTACGAGTGTGGGAACAATCGGTGTGGGCTACGCCTGCGTTGATGTAACCCGGCACAGGCGGCACCGCGCAAACAAATTGGATGCTTAAAATTCAATTTGAAGGTTTCGCGGTTCGCTTCATTCGGCCGGCTCGTTCGTTACAAGCCTCGAACCCTCTCACATGTTCCAGTGGAAATGCAATTATTTTGCACTAAGTGGAATGTGTAAATGTTTTCGTTGACAAACAGGAAACTTGTTTGTTATATGAGACCCGCTCTGCTGGAAAAACATTTTTTCCGTGTTTAACAGAAAATTGTTTTATAGTTCTGAATTCGTTAACAATTTGTATCTGGGACATGGTACTAAAATATTCGATAAAGTAATCGTCCCATTGTCGACAAAACATGTATGAGATTTGTCACTGTAGTTTGCGCCTGACAAATCTAATAAAAGTGTAGTCGATGACGCAACGAATACCTTCTCGCAAATTTTTACGTTAGTTTATTGCAGAATAATTTTTTGACACTGTAGTTTGCTACAGAATTAAGAAACAGATTTACTATTTATTTCATGTACTAATTTTGTTTTTTTTTTGTCACCTTTACAGTAACAAGAACAATGAAACACATAACTAAATTTCACAAAAATTTATTTGACACCATATTTTATGTACTTTTCAAATACACCAAATTGTAACAAAATGTTGATTCTGTTTTTTATGCTAATCACCTCTTTAATTTAAGCAAAATAAGCTTTTTCGTTTAATTCATACATCTAGTTTGATGTTGAGTGTAGGTACTATTGTTGACTTAAAAACAACTTTGAAATTAAGTTTTAATAACACTTAAGGAATTATACAAAGACTGATATTTTTACAATTAGTCCCTACACCGTTTAATTCATTGGGGGCATAAATTTCTATAATGAGTTTATGTATCACAAATGCGGTACTCGATAAAATATCAATAGACCTAACATTGATGCTATTTATCTAATAACATTACATAAAATAATTAGATGTTGTAATAATTTACTGGATTACATTTTTTGAAGTAAAAATAAAGCTACGCTACGAAATCTTTGGTAAACCATAAAATTTTCAATTCCATCCAAGACTTAAAAATTGTTGTATATTTATAACTTTTGCAATTAATTATTATGAATAAATTAAACATTTAATAAATAAAGATTTCATTTAACATTACACAATATGATACGAATTGAATTCCTTATTATATCAATTCCACATTAACTATATATTTTCAAATAGTTACATATTTATTCTTTTAGAATGAGTCACATTTTGTCACAATTTTGTCACAATTTTGTCACAATTTTGTCACAATTTTGTCACAACTTATATTAAAATGAAATAGTTTATCAACATAATGTGATAATAAATTATCAATTCCTGTTAATTTTGGACGAGTACGCGGCAAGCAGTTTAATATAGTGATACATAATATTAGATACTTATATTTCAAACATATGTATAACATATACGGATGGGTAGACAAAAGTTGTACATGGTATGTGAGGGTTTAGATAACAAAACATAACAGTATTTACTATAACGTTACACTTTATTTGGTAACAAAACAAATGATAGTAAAAACGTGTTACGAGATGAGTTCGGATGCAGTCGACATAGTTGAACAATTCCTTAAACTGTTTCTTTTGTGGTCTATTACCCTGTATACCATATAATATTAGAAATTAAAGCAACTTGTTTCATTAAAATAATAAAATAATATAGTCCATATTATATGTACTCGTCCAAATTTCAATTTGTTGCTTGTTTTAATATGAGTTTACTTATCAAAAACTACGCCAACTTAACACATCTCACTTAAATTAACTTTACAAAATCACAACATATTAAATGCAATTTACACTGTTCACTTGAAACACTTCTTTTTGATAAAATTATATACACAATTTGTATGTTTCAATAAGTCTTTGGTTACTTATTTATTGTAATAAGCACATTCATAATACTGAGATGAACGTTCATAAATATCTATTTTACAATATTCTCCATTTATCGAAGATAGGAATCGATTAACAAATAGAAAACATGTGTGATTAACTTATGTAGATATATGTAACTAACGTTCACACAAGTAATATGGCAGAATAACTTTGGAACAACGAAAATCTGTCTTTAACTTGTCATATATCATTACCTTCAATTCTACCTCATATACGATTGAAATGTTTTAAATCTCCACAACTTACATGTATATTTACAACTCGTTCACTGGCATCATTGAATACGTGTCCCTCATTCGCACTATAAATAATTTGTTTACAATATTTACACATAACTTTACACATCGTAACATTAAACTTGGTATATACAGTTTTAATTAGGCTGATAAATCACAACTTTGTCCTTTTGTTAATAACCACCTCAGGGGTAGTTAGAAAATCTCATACGGATATTTCTTGTATCTGTACTCTTTTCTTCATAATTCCAGGAGGCATTGGGGCCGTGTTTGTTGGCGGAGCCCTCAAGATTCCCGAACCTCCGGCCGTTCCATTTTCAGAGTCTCCATTAGAATCTGATGGAACCTCGGAATCTGGCACAGGCCCGAATTTAACTTGTGTTGAACTATCTACAACTCGTGGTTCAAATGTACTCGTTCTGCCTATTGGATCCGTCTGCATACGCCCTTCCACTTTTTGTATATCCGGCTTTTGTGTATCGATGCACACAACACTTCCCGCTTCTATCGCACTGCCCACACTGACATCCGGTAAAGAATTACAAGCGGCTCGATGTTTCTCGTCGTAACAACTGTACTCCCCAAACGTGGGCTCTCCACAATCCGATAACGTCCGTAAATCATATTTCGAACTTGAACTTCGTGACACGTGTGCCGACTTACAATCGAAACCGAACCCTTTTCCGTCGTAAGCACGAATTTCATAATCTAATTTAGCATCATAATTGTCCGAGGAAGACGAACTGCCCGCCTCGCCAAGGTCATCTTTCGAACGTCTCGGTCGTGATCCTCGTTGGTGATATATGCCGGCAAATATCAGCACATTTAGTAACAGAAGAAAACATCCGACTGCGATGGTTACAGTGAGCGCGGCCGTGTAGGACTGATAATGAGAAGACGCCAAACGGCGGAGTAACGCATCGTCCGGGTGTACTGGTGCGACCGTTGCGTTCGGCGGGCACTCAGTAGATATGACCGGCGGAACGGGGGAAGGTTTCGGCTGAGCTGATCGAGAAGAAGGCGTACTACGTCCTTCTCCGCGCCCCGGGTTGTCAACATTCACAACAAGTGGAATGTGCGCCCTCGATATTGATTGTGGTCTTACAGCACCTAAAATAAATGAACAGACGACTTGTATGCTGTACTCAAATATTTATCCAAAAACAGTTATTGAATTTAGTCCGTTACCTTCGTAGTAATTAGCATTGTCGTCTTGGAAGTGATGGTGGCGCATAGCGGCATCGGGCAAGTCATTGCCAGGCCGATGAAGTTGCGGGATGAGTGACAGCCACAGCGACATCTTGTGACCTCGATAATGGTTCCGCATCTCTGGCTTATTACCTAGGTAAAGTATTTTTCTGTTTTTATGAACTTTATTACTGCGTAGATTTTAAACTTACATTTTGTTTTAATAGGCATTTAATACTTACTAATTTCCATATAGAGCTGATTGATTGTGTCATACGTGTCCCAATATAGCATTTGATCGGGCCCGAGGCGCGGTGTCTCCCCTAATAATGTACTAGGTGGAGGAGTAGCCGATGGGTCGTTGGGATTACTGGCGTAGCAGAATAATTTTATTAATTTCCACCTTAAGTCTTAAAATCCTATTGACAATTTCAATGCAAAGTCAGAGATTGAAGTGGATACGACGCAAACAACAACCGTCCCATATTAGTAACAAGAGACGATTTGTTGCTGCTCCAAAGCAAAGATGGAATGCATGTTTACAAACAATCAGCATCGAATGTCCGGCTGGCTTCACTAACGATACAAATATAGCAACTCTCTCTAAAAAGGATCAAAATGAAATTACAAAAATATAAAAGATGTTATGAATAGCTTCACATATCTGAAACTAAGAACATGAATTAGAAGGAAATGATTGAATTAAAGCTTTTTATATATGTACGTATTTAGTTTCTTACCCGTATCTTACGAAATTGGATATGTAATGCATGCAAATCTTCGAGACGCGCTGTTCTTGCTGCGAAAAGTTCTGATGATGATTCTGAGAGAACGGCACACCCAAGTAATATGGTAATTCTTCTCCGTGCACGGAACCCGGTCGCTACGAATTTTAATAAGACTAAATAGAAGTACTCATATCTACAGAGTTTTGTCTGTTTATCATAAAAGAATATTAGTACAAAGTATATGATTTTTCCAATAATTGAGGGAAGTTAATTTACCTGTGGATAATCTTTATCTTGAGAAAGATGATGGAAATGTGTAAAGTAAGTTGTACCACCTCTTAGGGCATGTAAATACCCCAGTCGTATCAAAGGTGCTGCGGTACGCCCATCACTCAGAATCTAAAATAATTCAACGGGTTAAATCGAGAAATTAATCCGATCTTAAGATTTTTCTCAAATGACAATGGCGTAATGTTTTTTGGGAATAGAATGTAAGAATGATATAATTTTTTTTTTGTTTATGGCGCATTAATTGATTTGTATTCTGCCCAGAAGACAAATTTATCCTAATAATCCAAAATAACTAATATGTGAACAATTGCACTAATTTTAAAGTTAAAATGTAATGAATAAACTATACAAATGAGTTTATACCTGAATAAAGCGATAGCAGTTTATGAGCTTTTATGTTTAAATTGAAACCATAAAGAATCATATGCTTGCCAGTCATCTTCAGTCAAAGAGCGTCTATTTTGTATTCAGCGCGCGCGAGTGTCATTAACTTCCTTTGTGCGTTACGAAGTCATTGAATGACTTGCAAAAACCGATTGAGACTTAAATTATGACCAAATGAGATATCGATGTGCCTCGGATGAAAAATAATTGGAACTGCCTTCTTAATGAGCTTGTGGTTAGAGGGCGAAAAGAAAATGAAAAGATATCCTTAAATTAAAATAAAATAATGCTAGTACAGAGCTTTATAAAGCTTTACTCACCTCGAGGGTCGCGTCGCGTACACTCAAAGGGTTCTGTACTGGTTTATCCCAATCTGTGTACTCATTTTTCAAAGTAGAATAAATCTCATTAAGATGATAATAGTAGGCGTTACGTACAAATGTACGCAGAATACGGTCCCGTCGACTTTCGTTAAAACCGAACTCCAAGTCTTGAGCATTGAATTCCAAGTAAGATTCTGCAAGTTGGAGAATTTCAGTTATTTGCATAAATTTTAGGAAACACTTCACCAACAAATTTAAATGAGACAAATTTAATGAAAGCCGTATCTTGAAGAATTCACTTCTCTACGAATTAGAACGATAATAAATATACTAGACAATGTTAGTCAAATGTTAAAAATAATAAAGTAAAAGCTTTTATACGTCGTAAGCAAGGTTTCCTTATTAAAACAGTGCTTTAGAAACTGGCACTCATTTATGTACGTGTAAGAGTGATATGTTGTGTACATGTAAAAGTAAAAAAAAAACAATCCCAAATTATTATTATAAGTTATAAGCTTGCCTGTTGTTGTGAGCCCGAATAGCAGTTCTCTATGAGAAAAGTCCGCTAGTTCATGTCCCGCAGCATTCGCCACCGCCGCCGCGCCCGCGCCAAGTCTTGAGTTGTCCGTAGGAGGTGGGGCCTACGTAAACAAATTAAAAACCTCTAATATATTTTCTGTTCATGTTAAGTATAATTAACTTATGGAAATTGAAGTAAACAGATATTAAAACAAAAGAGAGGTCGCGATTTACTTACAAAGACTCTCTCGAGATTGAAAAAAATCGTTAAAGTTCCTTGATAAGATTATCATTATAGAACATTGTGTTAACTTACCGATGATGGATTTACAATTACAGTTCCGTCCACGAAGGGCGCAAAACCTGGCAGAAACCTTGGGGGATCGAGTCGCACGGCCAGCAGCGCGGACAGGGGTAGCTTTCGAAGGCAGGGCGCTAAGTCATCCTCCAACAAGTCGCCATGACAGCCTGTTTGCTCCGCTACCTACACAAATCAATAAAGACAATATGTACACATCTTATTATGTGTCAGGTCAAAGGTCAAAATCCTGGAGATATGCGTCTGTATTATTCACCTTGAAGCTAGGATAAGACGTCTAGTGTGTCATTAGAATTGAGTGTATAAAAGTCACATTCTTATGATACTCTTTGGCAAGTTACCAATAATAAAAAGATCGCCAAAGAAAAACAAAAATAAATTTGTTTCAGTTACATAAAACTTTATAAGCTTGTATGAATCTAAGCATAATTTATTTTCATAAACTGAGCTGAAAACTATGAAAAGGTTGAGAAACTTTAATTTATTTGAACAAGTTGTGCTAAGAGTTGAGAGCTTACACTAAATATGCTTTTAAACGGCACGTTATTTACCTTTCTTTTTATCGTGAGCGGTTCTCTCTGCAGCGCCCAAGAGCTCAAACCCGACCCGCTTAACAAGATGACGCGCTTCAGTAGCTCTGAAACAGAAACCTAATTTAATTCCATCATTTCCAGATTTACTGAAGTAATATTATCTGCACTAATGAATGTATTGAGCCCCTCTTTATTATTGTCATTCAGTTGCCTTTTATTACTAACGCTCTTTATTCGCACCGTATTTTGAAATGTGATTCTTTTATTGTTTCACAAACGTTTACTCGTGCTTTAGAAAACATACACTACAACTGTCTCTTGTATTGATTGTAAAATTTGTTTTTAATAATTCGATGTTTACCGAGTATTTACAATTAATATTATAAGACGAATAAATAAGGTAGAATAACATTAATTAAAGGTGATTTATGGTATCTAGTAAACATAAATGTTATTTGCTTGTTTATCGTCGTACTAACAGTTAACGTCGGGACCCTAGTTTGTTTAGTATAATGATTATTGTCATTGCTTCTGCGGAAATTTAGCGTCAATATACTTAAAATTTAAGGTGCTCAATTTTAGTTTACAAACTGGTATAAAATAATCCATTCTTGTTTACTAACTAATGATTTAATTTTGCAGAATGTACTGTACGACAGGAAAACTGGAGTATTTCTTCTCTTTGTTTGTTTAATTTATAATCTGTCCAGTTATAAAGAATAACAAACCGTTTTATAACATAAATGGCTATAAATGTAGAGGAAGGCCGAAAAAAGTATAGATGAATTGTGGTGTGATGAGGATACGCATAAGAAATGAATGAATTCAATCATGACGACTAATAGAGATGTATGGAGTACCCTGAGTAGAGAAAAGGCCAGGTTCATGATGAAAAAAGTCGCTACTTTGTTATATCTTATAGCAAAGATTGTAACAAGTGATAACTAACCACTTCCAACAGGCGATACAGCTAGAAAGTTAGCGAGCGCGGCTCCCGTGCCGTGTCCCATGAGCGTTACGCGCTGGGGGTGGGCAGGTTCTCCCGTAGCCAGTGTAGCCCTGCCACTAGGTCCATCAGCCCGAAGTTACCCTGCGCCGACCCTCTGGCACCCGTTTTTAAAAAACCTACAAAATCAAATCACTCGTATAGAAATTTCTTACAATTTTGATGCTGGAGGTTACAAACGATACTCACGTATTTAAATTTAAGGCCACGCGCACACATTTAACTAAACTATCGCACAATCGTTGTGCGATTGTCGATTGTTTCGCAACCAATTTAACTTTTTAGTTGCGCATCTAAAAATTGAGTAGTGTGCCATCTCCATCCAAGTCTCATAGGAATCAAAGCGCGACTAAACAGTCGTATGATAGTTTGGTCAAAGATGTGCACGCGCTCTAGATATAAACATAAGACATGGTACATAATTGACAACAAGCGTTTAAAATCTAAGAAAGAATACACATTTATATTACTTATTTTGTATAACACTGTATTATAGTGCAAAAAGTATTATTAGAGTATACTACGATATTAATATTATAAATCCGAAATTTAGATGGATGGATGGATAGATGGATGGATGTTAGTTTGTAACCTAAACGACTGAACGGATCTCGATGAAATTTAGCACAGACGTAGATGATATTCTGTAAGAACACATAGGCTACTCACTTTTTTTTTCAATTCCACGCGAACTGAGTCGAGGGCGAAATCTAGTATTATATATTAGCGAACTCATAATAGAACCATAAATATAACAACAGATGAAATAATATGTTACGATTCCTAAATACTCAAAGTCCACATTTAATAAATTGTAAAATATATACTAAATCAACACTTAAAGTACAATTAACAAATTTATTGGTCGACACCGACGCTCGAACTTGGTTAGGCGTGTATAAACTTTGAGCCGGGGCCGGAATCAAACTTATGGCTGCTGTTAAATAAATTACAAGTTTTAAAGTTAAACGTGCCAGGCAACGGCAAAAGGCAAAGCTTGCAACTATTACATTACATTATATTGCACCAATTAAATAACAACAAAAACAAAGTAAATATTAACTTTGCAAAGGCATATTTGTATGTAATACCATTCTCATTTTCATTCTGTGAGTAAGTTTCAATTACATTGTAACAATATGCTGATTATAACGAACACTGGCTACTATCACTTATCATCAAGTAGGATTATGATCAAACGCTTCCTTATTAATTATTAAAAAAATAGTATGGTCGGAACTTTAGTAGTAAACCTTGTCATTGAGGGACACTGCTAATGTTTGGATCGAAAGTTTGGTATGATTAATCTGAATCTAAGAAGACGCATCTACGCATATATTTAAATGAATCATTTGTATTTACCCAATACACCTAGTCTAAAGTTGATAGTTGCAACAATGATGTTGCCGTGTGCGGCAAGCGCGGTGCCGTCGTACGCGTTGCCGGCGCCCCACTCGTACGACTCGCCGTGCACGACCACCACGCACGGCACACCCTCGCCCTCAACGCCCTCCTCTGCCCCTGTTGTAATCAAAATACCCTTATATGGTTTGTTATACTTAAAATACATTATGAACATTACATACAGAAAAGTAGAAGTAATCTAAATTTACATGAAAATTTTCACTTCATTAAATTTTCGTAACAACTTTAGTAAATTAATATTAGATTTTCTATGCATGACCACATAGTTATCAATGTTATTTCCATTAAAAACAAAAAAAATCTACGGTTAATACGTAAACTTAAAATGAATAAAAGCGATGTAGAACACGAAGCAAATACAGATAAATACATAAATTAAAAGCAATAACAAAATAGCAATATGCAGAATAACGGGCGAAGTACTATTCATAGACAATTGCAGCACGGAGTCTTCGGTTGTAGACGCGTAGCTATAGACTGTCTCAGCCTCACTTCCGCACTGCTTGCAGGGGGCATGATGCACTGCAATGCACTACGGAATTGAGGCCTCAACACCCTTCACACCCGCTGTTTTCTGTTTTCATTCCCGCTGTCACAAATGTGCCTCCGAATTTCCGCCTCGAGCGCCCTTTTGTCTTACACACCACCGCCACCGCACAGCGCAAAGTGACGATGCTAAATTACAAAGCAAATAAAATAATAAGCTTCACCACAATATAGCACATCAAACTATTGCGTTAATAAAATATATTTCTCTAAAACTATACGAAAAGTACGCGTAAAATGTCAATCTATCAACTTAAATGCAAACAAGCTTAATGCTGGAACGAAATCTCTCTGGTTTGGTATCAGTAACAATAAAAAAAGAGCTCGTCGCGTGAGATGTGAGCGTGATAGGAATGAAACCAAAAGAAAAAAGTAAACTATGCAATAACTCTTTGTCGTTTTGCAAATAAAATGGTGCACACAAATTCTACCTTTTCGATCAAAACACTTTTAAAAAAATGCATGAACGACAACAGTGGGGATCGGTTTCGTTTTATATTTAGATTTTTTATACATACTAGGATTCAGAGTTTTCGCTGTCATTTCTAGTTTTTATACCTTATTCACGATTTAAGATTTAGGAACTTCACAGAGATTAGAAATTACAATTAAAATAATCTAAACGTACTTTATACCCAAGATTGCGTACAATACAAATAAATCATTGCAGTTACTTATGTTAGGTTGCTGTTGATAAAATTTAAAAGCTTAATAATGCATTTGGCGAAGCAATAGCATAAACATTACATATTTTGAATAGGAGCATGTTGAAGCATTATAATGCAAAGAATAAATTTTTGAATAGAACTTACCATTAGTAGGAACATAAAGATTAACATAGAGGCAGTCTTCGCTTTGGTTAGTGAGCAGGGGCAGTAGCGCCTCGAGGTGTCGGATGCGCGCGCGCGGGTGTAGCAGCAGGGCGTCTTCGTGCGGTGCGGCGGCGGGCGGCGCCTGCGGGCACGCCGGCCCCGGCGCGTCCCCCAGCCGCGTCGTGCGCCACTGAGACGGCGTCACCGGCGGCATGTATCTGTTGTACATTACACACTTTATAGCTCCGCGCAACGCCGCACTATAAAAACGCCGTAAACTCATTTAATATTGTGCTCAGAGTCGCCATTGTAAAAATTTATCTTTTGTACGTTTTAACACAAAGATTTCTACGGTCTTTGTTCTAGTTTTATTCAAATGAAGTTAAGGTAAAAAAATGTTGTTAACGTGGTCATCTATCTACCGATCATTACTCCTACTGTACTGATTATATTTTTGATCTAAACAATACCACTAAACAGCGACACGAAATAAAAGTACCATTCACCTAAATGAATCTGTTACTTTCTTTAATCTTGACGTTGTACCTGAGGCTTCCGAGAGGCGGTGTGGCGTAGGGCACGCCGAGGTAAGCCTCGACCTGGGGGTGCGAGTGCACGACGATGCCGCGCAGCGGGCCGTACTTGGTGCGCACGAGGCGCGTGCTGTACTTGTGCGAGGGCAGGGCGGCGGCGCAGCACACGAGCCACGCGAGCAGCGCGGCGTGGTCCGCGCGCATCACGCGCGCCCGGCGCTCGGGGCGCGGGCGGGCGCGGGGCCGAGCGCGTGGCCGGGCGCGGGCGCGGGCGCGGCCGGCGCCCCCCAGCCGCAGCGCATCACGCTCTCCGCGGCGCACTCGCGCTCGCGCACCGCCCCACGCTCTGCCCCACACGCTGCCCGCTCATCCTGAGATATGCTTCCCTCGTGCTCGCCACTGTCATAACGTTATATGCTTTCCCAAACAACTCACATGTAAATTCTGTATTCAAGTTGTCTGTGTAATTTAAAAGCGTGTTTCTTCATAAAAATAAATACTTACCCGGATCATTTTCTTATTGTGGTAATAACTGTTTCCGGAGCCGTAGTCACCATAACTCTGAAACAAAACAAAAAAGATTAATACTTGTTTTGGAAAAAGCAATCTTAAACAAGAGAATTATTTATAGAAAAAAATTTAAAACAGAGTTTTAAATTAATTGCTAATCCAATATTCAACGAGAAGAGTGTGTTACCTCGGCTTCGGACAATGGGCCGGCAGAAAATGTTTACCTAAACAATCCCAGCCTTCGTATAATTTAATAGAACACAAATACAATAACGCCGTCCCAATTTTAGCAAAGCCTTGTTAATTTTTAGATAAACCACAAAGGTCACTTTGACTGAAGTAAAGTAAAGGCCGTTTATGTAATCACGTTAACTCAAAATAGTATAGGATGGATAAACTGTAACGAAAAATATTTTGAAATTTTAGCTTATCCGTAGTTTTAAAACAGTTACGCTTCATTTTACTAACGTGCAATATTATAGAATGTAGATCGAATTTATTTACAATTTTTCATATTATTATCTGTATAAGTTAAAAAGGTGTACTATGTCATCATATCAGCCAATGTAATATTATAACAAATCCGTTTTAATAAATAAATGAAAACCTTCTCGTGTAAAAGACTAATCAACTCGCTTAATTCAGCGAAAATCCACTGTATTTTCTCAAGAAATTTGTTTAAGTCTTCAACTTGAAGATACTTCCTTCTTCATTTTATATTCAATACCGTAAAACGTGTCGTGTTAAGCGCAGCTTAATACGTACTTTGCATTATTAAACTTTTTAAGTCATTGTAATTTTAAATTAAAAAACAAATAACTTAGCAAGTTAATATAACACTGCAAGTATAATTTTCTCACATTTACCTACCAATTTTTTTAATTCCACGATCTGATCTTGGTTGTCTAGGACAAATATACAAACATTTATTTTTGTTATATAGTTTTTTGTATGGGAACATGATGTATGAAAGTATTATAGTGATTTATTATAGCTTAAACGGTCGGAATATATCTAGCACAACATAAATTAATCTGGATATTTGATAGCAATTGGAACCATAAATAAAAAAATATAGGAAACGTTAACCTCTGTTGAATAAATATTTATTTTTCTCAATAATCGCGAAGCAACGACTGGTATGACAATATCAAGGACCAGAAAAATGAGAGACTTATAAAACTCCCACAATTCATGCTCGTGATTGATAGCGGAGCTCCGGCCTCTCTTTGAATTCGCTGTACGCTGTCGAAAACGTCTATAAATATCAACGGAGCCATCGACATCAATTATAAAATACTAACAGGAAAATAATAAAGAGGCTGTGACCTCCGATATTTGGAGGAGGTTGAGATTACTTATTATATTTTTCACGTTCCAACCAATTTTGAATCTTTCTATAATGTTTTATATTACAAATACACTTGTTGATCATAAGATAAGCCTTGAAGTAAACCCGCTTATTAAGATGTTAATATAAATTTACCGGTACCTTAAGCGACGGCAATTTGCTAGCACCGTGTCAACAGCAATTTACCGGTTATCTTTTTAAAGCTGCCAAGTTCTCCGCAATGTTCCGCTCTTGCAGTAACCCACCGATTAAGTAAATCTCCACCGTGCACAGCTCGCCACTTTGATCGATCGCCTGTCTGATCAATTATACCATTTACTGCTTTATATCTTGAAAATGTATGCACAGTTTTACATTTTACAAAACGTCTTGCTTTTACTGACTGAAATTATTCCGGTTTTAATATTTAAACTATCAAAAGACACTCTAAAGTCAATTGATGACATTGACTAATTTAAATTTTGGAATATTCGTTATAACGTGTTGTAAACATTTATAAAACTACAGGAACACCAAAGTATCAACAGAAGACAACTACCCACATTATTTCACTACGTAAATATACTTTCATTGCTAACATTAACGCTTTTAGTTTCATTCAATTATCGCGACCAACTCTCTAGACGAATATAGTTCTAATTGCATTAGACACTCAACTGCTATTTGCGGGTTTCTAACACATTGTCTATGGACAAGATACATTTAAATTTAGTTTGTGTTAAGTAAATCTACGTAGATTTGAAATCGTTAATACAATCAGTTAATACATATAATTATTTAAATTGAACTTCTTAAAAACTAAATAAAAATCTTGAAATCCGAAAACATTTTCATAAAAATTACATAATGTAAAGAGCACCAAAACAGCAATGACCGTAAGGCTATATGTATAACGTTTTTATTTATATGTGAGTTAAGAATTAAAATAAAAATAAATACTGCTTCTAACATTTACAAGTCTTCCATATTGCTCTTTTAAATGATTTAAAAATGTTAATTTTAAATCTCGATTCCATGTTCCTTAACGAGTAAAGGGCCAGCTTGTACGTCGGGCAGCGCGCGGTGGTTACGGACAAGCGTTGAATTGGTTCCATCAATCACGACAGGGCCGTCCGCAGCAGGGCTTTAATGGGCAAGCGTTAATCTTCCATTTTCATTGTGCTTTCGCCTCACAGTATTCTATAGACGGATGATTTCCTAGAAATCGATATTATATTTCAACGTCTTTGAACTGCATTTGATGCTTCTAGAGAAGATTTACTTTGAGATTTTGAAATAGGATATTACAATTTATTCTGCAAAGAAAAGTCTAAAGAATGAGATAAGCAAACAACAAAGAGGCAACATGGGAAAGATAAGTAACATATTTTGAATAACACTTAAAAGTTTTTAAAGAAATATTAGACCTTAAAATTAAAAATAAGAGTAATCCGGATTTCTTATATTTTAACTCTATATAAACAAAACAAAGAAATGACGCTGAGAAACAAGAATAATTAAGCGAAGGCTATGATTTCGGGTGGGTCGCATTTGCATAGCAGTAAATTTCGTTAAAATTCAGAGCCCATCCCGGTTTCAGTTTAACTGTCGTTGTTGTCTTAATGGCCACCGCCGCGCTAAATCTCAGCGGCTTTAGCGGCCCCGCAACATCCAAATTGGTTACTCCTTGTCGTTAGCTTATCTCCTTACCTAATGTGCACACTTTACTTGAACATAGTTTGATTGTTTTCGGAACGAATTTTGATTAGAGTTATTGGGATCACGGAGCTGTATAAGCGGCGATTAGTACTAAGGATTCTAATCTATTTCCGCAGAAACGAAAGCTTTATGTCAAGCGCACTAAATCATATTTGATTACGATAAACATAAAGAATAGTATACATTTTAGACTATTTTTTAAGAGTAAAAAATGATTTATTTGCATAGTGAGAAAGACAACTAGAATGTAAGAAGTAATCATGCAACTTCTTTAGTTTATTAGCTTAAAAATATAAATTCAGACGATAAAATAAATGTTTAAAAATAAGCGCTCGCATATTTTGTGAATTTCGTGGCCCTACAAATGGTTCAACTGAGTGGCGACTCAAGTTTACTCGTCCAAAGTAATGAGTCCACTTCCTGAATTATATTCATTTTATTACCAAATAAATTTTTTGTCATCCGAATTAGCTTACCAAGAATAAAACATAATGGAAATAGCGAGAAATTCAACTAAAACATTGGATTGTTAAAGTGTTTTTAATCACTACAAACATTTATATGTAATCACTATTGAAGGATATGATACCTGGCTTTTTAATAAATACCTTCAAAAGCTGTAATTTTCTAATGAAATCTTTATAAGAAGCAGAGTAATTTAAGAGTATCCCCAAACTTCGGTGATCTGTAATACTTAACGTTGTAAACAAGTTTGCACATGTGATAAACTTTACAAATACGCCTGTCGAACCTCCATGTGACATAAACTGACAAAACATGGGTTAAACAAATTAAACACAGTTTATGTTTACTCAGCATTGAAAAAATTTGAATTAACCAAAACATAACTAGGATTTTTGTAATGAATAATTTTTGTTTGAAATTTCCTACTTGTGTTTGCATCTAACGTAGCCCTTAAAATTATATTTCCTATAAAATACGAAAAAATACAATTGAGATAACGATCATGTTAAAATTTATTACTACCCTTTTACACAGGTATCCACACAGATATCTTATTAAGGCAAGTAAAAGAAACAAACGTGAGAATAGCCGATTACGATATATTATTTAATCAAACATTTTAGAACGAAACAAGATAAAACCCCGAGAGGCGCAACGCAATAAAATAGGAGATGAAAGAGTAAGCTCACAATACACATAAAACTAATTTGGTAAAGCCACTTTGAGCCCTACTGACCCTTGGAAGTTTACGCGTGAACACACAAACTAATATAACCTTGATTCTATGATATTCGTATGTATAACATCCTTATTTTAATACTGTTTCTTTCCAGCAGCTTTCTAAGAAACATAATAAACAACTAAACACTTGATATATTTTTGGTTAGATTTCTTTTGTTACACATATATTTTGTAGGTTTTTTTTGCAGTATAACCATGTGCCAGACGTAGCTTTAATACGAAAGCAAATGAAAGAAATCGAGTTATGAAAACTTAGGGAGGGCAAAAACCCGATATCAGTTTTTTCCCAACGAAAAACAATTCAAACCAAAATTTTACAGTGTTATTGTTATTTGTTATCATAAGTCTGATATTTCAATAATGTAAGGGAACAATTTTGGTGAAAGTTGTAATTCGTGTATTGAAATTTATGTTCTCTTAGAATTTCTAATTTCGTTTAATACATAATTAATTGCCTCTTTATACGGAGTGGAAGCTTGTTTCAGAACGGCAAATAAAAATGTTTAACAAAATAAGAAATAGATGGAGTTTTCGCAAGCGGAAATAAGCTTAATTTTGTTGTTAAAAGTAGGTATTATGGATTTTTTTTAATAAAAATCAAATGCCAATAAGATATGAACCTTTTATTGGAAAATCATGTAAATGCTTTTAGACTACGAGTATTACATTTCTTATGAAACATTTTTTAAAATGAAAGATATTTGATCTTATTATGGAATTATCTAATTATTTGCTACATCAGCAGTGATTCCCGAAAGAAGAACTTTTCATATAAAATCTCAAGTTATGTAAACAA